GGGGGGGGGGCGCGAGAGCTCGGGAAGCTGCGGGGGAGGAGGGAAGGAGGAAGGAGTCCTCCTCCCCTCCCATCCCTCCCTCACCCCCACCCTCCTCCCTCCAGTCCCTTCCCCCTTCCCCACTCCCCACCTTTTATCCTCCCCCCCTTTCCCCCTGCCCCCCCACCCCCCACTCCCCCTCCACCCCCCACCCACCCCCCCCCCCCCCCCCAACCCCCCCCCCCATCTCCCCCACACTACCCCCCCACCCTCCCACCCCCCCCCCCCCACCTCCCTAACCCCCACCCCCCCCCCCTCCCTCCCCCGCACCCCCCCCCTACCCCCCCACCCCCCCCCCCACCTCCCAATCACCTCCCTCCCTCCTCCCTCCCTGCTCTCCCTCCCTCCTCCGTTCCCTCCTCCCCTCACGGAGTCGGCGGTGGCGTAGGTGACCCCGGCCAAGAGTGGAGGGGGATGCGCCACCCGCCCGACAGAAAGTCGAAGGAGAACGCCCCGCGCCACGCCCCTCTTCGAACGCACCCTCCTCCGTCCTCTCTCTCTTCCTCCTCCTCCCCTCCTCACTCTCTCACTCCTGCTGCCCTCCTCCTCCTCCTCTCCTCCTCCTCCTCCTCCCTCCTCTCCTCCTCCTCCTCCTCCTCCTCCTCCTCCTCCTCCTCCTCTTCTTATTCTTCTTCTTCTTCTTATTATTATTATTATTCTTATTATTCTTCTTTTTCTTATTCTTCTTCTTATTCTTATTGTTCTTCTTCTTATTCTTCTTATCTTCTTATTATTCTTCTTCTTCTTTTTCTTCTTCTTCTTCTTCTTCTTATTATTATTATTATTTTTCTTATTTTTCTTATTTTTCTTCCTCTTCTTCCTCCTCCTCCTCTCCTCCTCCTCCTCCTCCTCCTCCTCCTCCCCGTCCCCCCCTCTCCTCCTTCTCCTCCTTATCCTCTCTTCCCCTCCCTCCTCCTCCTCCTCCTCCTCCTCCTCCTCCTCCTCCTCCTCCTCCTGCTCCTCCTCCTGCTCCTCCTCCTCCTCCGCCGCCTCCTCCTCCGGCTCCTCGGGAGGAGCAGCGGCAGCAGGAAAAGAGGAGGCGGAGGACAAGGAGTCGAGGGGAGGGGAGGACAGCGAGGAACGTGGAGAGCGCGGGCTGAGAACGCGCTAGGCTTCCAGATGCCTGTGCGCACGGTGTGCTCGGCATCAACCAGACCTGGAAGGGGAGGGGGGGGAAGGTGGAGGAGGAGGAGGAGGAGGAGGAGGAGGAGGAGGAGGAGGAGGAGGAGAGAGGAGGAGAGGAGGAGGAGGAGCAGGAGGGCAAGAGGAGAGAGAGGAGGAGGAGGAGGAGAGGAGGAGGAGGAGGAGGAGGAGGAGGAGGAGCAGGAGAAGGAGGAGGAGGAGGAGGAGGAGGAGGAGGAGGGGGAGGGGGACGAGAAGAAAGAGAAGGAAGGAGGAGGAAAGGAAGGAGAAATACGGCGATGGAGACGGAAATCATTTAGGAAGAAAGAGGTGGGAAGGCGAGAGGAGGAGGAGGAGGAGGAGGAGGAGGAGGAGGAGGAGGAGGAGGAGGAAGATGAAGAGGAAAAGGAGGAGTGGGAGGGTCACTGGCCAACGTTCCAGGTCTACGAACGGGAGAACCACCAATCAGCCATCGTGCATGCACAGAATGAGCGTGGCGTGTTAGAACCTGGGCCAGCACCGGAACGGAAAGAGCGCTGCAGAAGCTTGCCCGAGATGGCTCATTGCACCCTTCGCTCTTGGGAGCCTTGGTGTTCAGAGCTTGTTACGTCACCGCTCTCTGTTGGGAGCCCTGGTGTTCAGAGACGTTTACGTTGTCGCTCGCTCTTGTGAGCCTTGCTGTGAAGAGCTTCTTACGTCACCGCGCTCTGTAAGATCTTGTTTGGGGCCGTCTTGGGGCCCTCTTGGGCCGTTTTTGGGCCCTCTTCGGCAGTCTTGGGGCCCTCTTGGACCGTTTTCGACCCTTCGGGGGACCTCTTGGGCCGGTCTTGGGGCGATCTTTGGAGCCTCTTGGGCCGTTCTGGGCCCGAAGAGGTGAGAACCCGAAAAGCCTTCAACACATCATAGGACATCCATGAATTGTGCCTCTTTGGGTCCTCGGGGCTCTCTGGGACCGTCCCTGGGGCCCTTTTCGGAAGCCTTGTGCCGTCTCGGGGCTCTCTCGGGAGCCTCCTGGGCCGTCTTGGGGCAGTGATGGAGGCCCTCAGAATAATTTTCGAACGATCTGGACCCGAAAAGGGGAGAATCCAAGAGACGAGGAAGACATGAAAGAACGTCGAAACATGTCGGCCACGTCATCGTTCGTACTGGGAGCATTGGCGTTCAGAGCTCCGCTCCTCGCGTCACTTGGCCGTCTGGGGGCGGGAGCCGTGGCGTCAAAGCTGTGTCCTTCACTGGGCCGTCTTTGGGCCCGAGGGCTCGCACCACCGTCCGTGCTTGGATCCTTGGTGTTTAGAGTTTGCGACGTCATTACATCCAGCCCACACCGTACGAGAATCAATGACTGCGGCGTCTCCAAGTCTTCTGTTGGGGCCCTTTGGGGCCTTCCTGGGGCCCTCGTGGGCCGTGCTGGGGCCCTTGTGGGCCGTAATGCGGGAGCTTCACCGTCTTGGAGCTCGTTTGGGGGCCTCTGGAGGCTCTCTTGGGGCTCCCTTGGGGCCCTCTTGGGCCGTCTTGGGGCCTTCTTGGGCCGTCCTGAGCAGTCTTGGAGCGATGTTTGGAGCCTTTTGGGCCTTCCGGGACGCTGTGAAAGCCAAAAAGCGAATATGCCGAACATTGATTCTTTCCTGAAGGAATGGGGCGAATTTGGCTTCTTGGGGGTCCCCTTGGGAGTCCTCTTGGGGGTACTGGGGGCCTGTTGGACCGTCTTGAGGCCATCTCAGGCCATCTTGGATCGCTCCTGGCCGTCTTGGGCCGTCTTGGAGAGCGCTCGTGGACCGTCTTAGGCGCGGGCTGTCTTGGGCGCCTCTTGGACCGTCTTGGGGGCCTCTTGGGGCGTCTTGGGAAGGGGAACGAGGTACGCCCAGCCAGCCGCGCTTCGCCCCTCTCCTTGAACCCCTTCCCAGAGGGCTGCGCCCCACGTGAACGTCATCGCTCGTACCTCGCTCTTTCCGTCATGCCTTCTCTGTTGTTTGGACAGTTTATTTGGTCTGTTTGAGGCCGACCCCTCCCCCTCGCGTCGCATGCCCCCCCCAGAGGGCTCCAAGAGGCCCTTTAGGAGAGCCCTGGGAAGCGAAAAACCTTAATGTTTCCTAGGTGTTTGGAACATTTTGCGGTTCTCACCTGTTTGGGTTTCCGACCGGCCAGAACACCCCAAGAGGCCGCCAAAATAGCCCATGGGGCCCCCTAAAGAGGGTCCCAAGCCGGCCCCAGAGGACCCCAACATCGCCCTAGAGCCTCCCAAAAGTTCTGGGACGGTCCCAGGGCCTGGTGAGGGCCCCCCAGTGCCAATAATGGCGACACACCCTCCGTCGTGATTTCTGCAACACGCGAGCATGCCCAGGAAGGCAAGATGGAGGCGCCGATCCCCGCCGGCGGATCTCCTGCTGGAGCAAGCCGCTGGGGAGGCCAGCGGGATGGGCAGCGAGAGCCTGGCGGGGTGTGGGTCGCTGCCCTGCTGTGTCGTCGTCGTCGTCGTCGTCGTCGTCGTCGTCGTCGTCGTCGTCGTCGTCGTCGTCGTCGTCGTCGTCGCCGGACGTCGCCGTCGCCGTCATCGTCGTCGTCGTCGCCGGACGTCGCCGTCGCCGTTGCCGCCGTTACCGCCGTCGCCGATCGTCGCCGTCAAACAGTGGACACGGACGATCAGAACTCTTGCTATAAAGACATTCACAGACACGTTCGTCGTTCAGCGTTGAGGTCCTTGATGTGGCCCAGGCGTCTGTGGGCGGCCTTTCGGAGGATAGGAAACTTTAGGGGGGCGCCTGCTGACAAGCTGGCTCTTATTTGACGTGCCTTCTGTCGTCGTCGCCGCGTCGCTGCCGCAATCGCCGCCGACCTCGCTGTCCGTCCTATTCCCATCGCCGTCGTCGCCGCCGTCGCCCAGGCAGGCCTCGCCAAGATGTGTGAGGCTCCGGAAGCCCCCAGAGGTAGGGCAGCTGTTCGCTAATCGGGTGGGACCCGCCGTCTGGGCAGGGGCGTCTCCTGCACACGTCTGCTTGCGGTCGCTGGAGCGAGCAAGGTGTAGGATCCTGTGGCCAGCCGCACAAGGACCGGAAAGAACATCGGAATCAGAAACGGGATCGGTACAGTCAACCCGGATAAGAAGGACGCACGATAGGGACGCGAGGGCCTCGGACGCCCATGTCGAAGCTTCTCGAGCGGGGCGCGGCCGACGAAAGTGGCCAAGGATGCACCGAGGAGGCAAGGATGCAAGGGTACCCTTTGGAAGGTTGCCCGTCCTTACTATGCGGGTTGACTGTAGGACTCGGGAAAGCATCGGATCGGAACAAAGTCGACACCCGCGGATCGCATCGCAATCGAAATCAGAAGACTGGAAGGCACCCGGACCAAAACAGGAATCGGATCCTGGGAAACCGAAATCGGAAACTTCAATCGGAACCGGGCCTGACAAGTGGCACGCGTCGCGCTAGAAGCGGCCTCTAGGCGACGAGGCGGAGGAGGACCAGTGCAAACCCAAGACGCATCAACGATGTTCCAACGAACCCTCCCTCCAGGTTCCCTCTTCATAAGTCCCTACAAAACTTTACTTTCAATGCGAGAAGTTCCCCGTTGGAAGACAACCGTCTGAGAATCCTCAATCGTGCCAACGCCATTTCCAGGGACACCAACGCCGCGAATTATCGTTGAGGTTGCGTCCTTACGATCCTGAATCATACCAGGACACCTTTCCTGGTACTTCAGCGCCGCACATCAACATGACTGTTGTGCCCTGACAACCCTGAATCGCGCGGGAGCACCATTCCTGGGACGTCCACCATACGAATCCTTGCAATGGCGATAAACGATTAAGGCGATTTTGCGCAACACTAAAACAAGAACCA